TAAAATAAAATTTAAAAAAATATACTTGTGCACCTACACACAGTTTTCAGTGGATGATACAAAATAGCAAGGGGTTTTTGTTGTTGTTTAAGAAAATCACGTCATCCTTTCTATTGCCATTATAAATGATTATGATGTTTCATTATTGGGGTGTGAGAGGAAAGAGAAAACCCCTATAAATGGATTTTAAAAGATTAAAAGTAATGGCCAAGATTCATGAATTTAAAATTACACAGAATACTTTTTAAAAAAATATTTTTAATTTTTTTTTTTTAAAGGAGCAAATGAGGATGGCCTAGTCCTACTTCTAACCACTTAATAAAGCGGGACTGTCCCCATCAATAATATCCATAGCAGCAAATAAACAGCTGTTTGGTCAGAGATGGCATCCCCTCATTCTCCGCCACACATTTCCTCCAATCATTTGGCTCTGATATTTTATGTTGACTCACAGACTTTACTGATAGTTGTGGTAACAAGAGTGAGGTTTATAAGGCAAAAATGATGGAGAGTGGGAGAGTCAAAGAATATCACCCATTGCAAGTCCAAGTTTTAGTCTAGAAGTACCAAGGCACAATTGTTCTGTTAGTCCAGACTCCAGTTTCACTTAAGCAGTCAGTTTCCCCTTCCATAATCCAGTAAGAATAGCAGAATCTTTAACTGTAACCTTTATCTCAGTGTTCTCTGGTTAAACCTTGCCACAGTTTCTCTGTAGCAATGCCACAATCTCTCCACCACCATCACCAGGGTCTTGCTCTAGTCTTCTTCAAGTCTGGCTGGTTAGTGTGGGAAGCACTCTCTTATCTAAGTCCCACAGCTGTTGATCATTTGCAAGACCATGTCTCTGCAGTTAAGCTATGTGGAGACCAGAAGGGGCTAATGTAGTGGCTATAAAAGCTAACTTTTAAACTAACACTGATTTTTTGAAGGAAAAGATTAAAAGTAATAGCCAGGTTTGCAACATTTAAAATTACAGGAAGGACTCTTTTACAAAATATTTTTACTTTGTTTTCATGCAATAATTCGTTTAAAAAAAAACACCACCCAAAATTCGTTTACATTGTGTTTCATTCATGTACATTTTGTTTTATACAATCTTTCATTTACATTGTTTCATACATAGTTCATATACATTGCATTTTATATAATTAATTACTATTGATATATGCCTATTATTACCCAGTCTAAGTACTTTTGAGGCACCTCCAGTGCTTAGAGAGCTCTTCCATTTCACAAGTTGCTTTCCTCCCAAGTCTGTATCTAATACCCAGCCATCAGTTAGAATAGTTTGTTGGCAATAGAAAGAAAAAGAAATAGAGTGGGATTACATTATAAATATGGTAATTAATGCTATAAAACAATGTATATTAGTTCTCACCACTGGGCTGATTGGCAGCATCATGATCATGGTGAAGATACTGAGATTATTATCAGTAGTTTGCTTGGCTCCACAATCAACACTCTTGGTCCCAGCAGCCAGGAAATTAAAAGACAAGTTGCATTGGGAAGGTTTGTTATCAGGGACCTCTCCAGAGTACTGAAGAGCAACAATGTCTGTCTGGAAACTAAGGTGCCCCTGATCCAGGCCATGATCTTCACAAATATGCTAAGCATCAGAAAGCTGGGCTAGGGATAATAGAAGAATTAATGCCTTTGAGCTGTGGTGCTAGAGAAGAGTATTGAGTATACCATGGACTGTTAAGAGAATAAACAGTTTCATCCTGGAGAGGGTTAAACCTGGCTGCTCCTTGGAGTCAAGGATTCTGAAGCTTGTCTGACATACTTTGGGCATGTTCCAAGGAGGGGCCAGTCCTTGGAGAGGGACATCATACTTGGAAGGGTGAAGGGACAGCTCAAGAGAGGAAGACCCTTGATGAGATGGATTGACTCCGTCACTGGAGCAATAGGAGTAAATGTGTCAGAGGTAGTAAGGTTGACTCAGGAGAGAACAGGGTTCAGAGCTGTTGTACATAGAGTCTCTATGAGTTGGAGTCGACTCATAACAATAACATGGGTGGTTCACAGGAAAACAATTTACTTCTTAAGCTTTTAATATTTTTTTAAAGTCTTTCGTACAGTGCTTCTCGATGCCAGCATTCCGAATTTTCAGACTTGAGCTCTTTAATCTGTGGTATATTAAAATACCTTAGATATTTTACTTAGCGCCATCAACTAACACCTGTATATGTATTTGTGTGTGCATTTCTATCTCTAGAGTTTAGAGATTTCTGATTCTGTAAAATGTCCTCTAATAAAGTGAATTTACATTAAAAAGATGATTACATTTTCCTCCACTTCATTCTCCTCAGGATATTTTCCCTGAAATGACATAAGAGTTCTTGCACATAAAATGCTAGTTCTATTTAATAATGTTCAGCTTGCTGGCTTTTTTTCCCCCTCAAATGCAGGGATTCCACATTTAAGAAGTAGTAATGGACCCCTGTTGCCCTTATTTGTTTCTTTATACCAGTGCATATCTTGCTTGAGTGTTTCTCCTCCTCTCTTCCTTTTAGGTAAATTTGATGAAGTCTATGAAGCTCTAGCTCATGCTCATCCTAATCTTACTGTTTACAAAAAAAAGGAGATTCCAGAAAGATGGCATTACAGATACAACAGTCGGATTCAACCAATCATCGCTGTGGCTGACCAAGGGTGGCATATTTTACAGAATAAGTCAGATGGATTTCTGTGTGAGTATATTAGAAATTAATATTTCCTATTCAGTTTGGTTTTAGTTGAAATGGGTGCTATGGATAGTACAAGTAGTTCCTGATCTAATAACTAGTATTATACAAGAATAGAAAAGTAAGAATCCTTGAGGTTTTAAAAGGAGGTAACTTCTTGAAGACATCAGGCCAAAGATGTTTGCTGACATACACTGATACTTAGTCTGTAACTGAAACCTGTAAAATGAATAATATTCTTTATATTCTAATTGAATAAGTACTTAATCCATTTTATTTGTAATAACTTTCTAATCTCCTTCCCCTTTTGGCTCTATCAATTTTTCAGCCAGCTTTGCTTTACCTGTTTCCAAAAAGAATTGCATTTGTCATTTTTTTCCTGATAAGATGTGGAGTAATTTTGAACTTATTTCCACAGGATAAATTTAGAATCCACTTAGAGTGTATTAGAAATCCTGCTTCCAACACGCAAAATGAAGTGTTTTCCTTTACTTAGGTTGCCATCTTATCAACAGTAACTCTTGATATTATGTTGTTTTTGTTGTTAAGTGCCATTGAGTCACAGGCAACTCATAGTGACCCTATGAAGGAGAGTCCTCGACGCTTGGGTGTCTTTCATCCTCTCCAGGTTCATAGGGTTTCCAGAGGCAAGCTATTATGGAAGTGGATGCCACTCCTCCTTCCAAGCTTGTGTTAATTGGGGAGCTTCACCCCACTCTCTGTCCGCATTGGGTAACCAACCATTAACACATTGACATATCCGTGTCACAGTGTTCAGCCTCACAGCAACCACGAGTGACTGCGGTACGGCAACTTGTACATCAGGGCTATATGACCTAGAGGAATGTCTGAACATTCAGGCCCTTTTAGGCTTGAAGCCTCCTACTGCCTTAAACCCTAGGCCAAGCCTGGGCTACTTGATATTATGCCGGATACAAAAGACTTTGAAGTAGGAGATTTTTCTTCCTTTAGTTTTGTATCACTTGCTGCATCAAAAGAGCCCTAAAGTTTTGGCTTTGATGATGGCCAGATTAAAAGCATCCTGTTCTGGAACTCCAAAGTCTGTAGTTTCCCAAGCTACACCCATTTCTTAGCCTTTGCTTTTGGGTAAAGAGTTGTCGCTCTAACTAGATCTGATTTTTTGGTTTGTCTTGTGGTCCTTTTTGGTTTCCTCCCCTTTATCGGAAATTTTGAACCTGACAGAAGAATGCCTTTATCATTCGAAAAGTAGTTGGAATGTGCAAAGTTCCCTGTAAATATTTGCTGAATGTTAGTGTACTAGTTCTTTTGTTCACAGAGTTGCTATGAGTGTACTCCACTCCAGGGCAATTAACAACCACTACCACTGCTGAGGAGAGGATTACTTTCATCTTCCTCTTAACTTGGCTTAGCTTTGTTTGGTCCCTTTTCTTTCTCTGCTGCTTAAAGTGATGGTAGCAGGACAGAAAGATTTGGGATCATTTGGCTTTTTTGCTTCCTGAAGAAAATTGTGATGTTGACAAAATTGGAAACTGTTTGCTTACACAATTATGAACTTTTGTTTGTTTCAAGTCATATAAAATAGTTTTTTTGTTTAAGTTCAGACTGACCGTACAGTAATTATTCCCATTTTAATACCATCTAACTGGCTAACTTACTTTGCATTTTCTCTTTTTTAGTAGGTAACCATGGTTATGATAATGCATTACCACAAATGCATCCAATATTTTTAGCCCATGGTCCTGCCTTCAAAAAGAACTTCACAAAAGGATCCATGAACCTCACAGACCTGTACCCACTTCTGTGCCACCTTCTTAATATCACTGCCCTGCCACACAATGGATCTTTCCAGAATGTCCAGGATCTGCTGAACTTGGCAACTTCAAGAACTACTGCTCTTATGAACCGCTCCAGATGTATTATTGAACAAAGAGAATATAAGCCAGAATACTCATATGCTTATTTCATAGTACCCTCTCTTGGTAGCATCTTAGTTATTATCTTTTTGGTCATTTTTATTAAACATTTAATTCACAATCAAATACCAAACTTACAATTTATGCAGCCTGAAATAGCTCAACCATTACTACGTGCCTAAGGCTGCTTTGAAATGAAGACTTCATAGTTATGTCAGTGTTTAAAGATTTCAAATTCTAGGTAACACATTTCAAATATTTGCACAGACCATCAACAATTCCACACACACAATACCTGTTTGTCTCTTTCTCTCAGACACATGTGTACAAACACATGCACACGCAAACCAAAACACAAATACTTGCAAAGGACTTAAGATGTGAATGTATGTCTGCATTGCTCTCCCTACCTTTGGGATAAAGTCTTGCTTTGTTTGAACATGGCACATATAATGTATTACACAGTTTGCACTATTTAAAGCATCTTCTATATTGCACTTTAAATTACTATTACAAGGAATGTGCTTATTTGAAATGTACTTTATGAATAAATATGTATTATAATTTTTAAAAAGATGACTTTTTATGCATAGGTAAAAAATACATGTACTTTTGTTCAGAATTAATAAAATTTCTGATAATTCATAAGCAATGTATAAATCTATCTACTTATGTTGGGAACGCAAAAGAAAGTAAAAATTAAATGTGATGACTCTTGTACCTTGATTTCTGGTGAAATACGTTTGTAACAGCCAGAACACAGTCATATTTTTTCCAAAGGACTTAGGTTTTCTCCCCTAAAACTGATTGAAATACTGCCCTATTATTCATGCTACTTATAATTATGTCTGTCTTAACTTATTGCCTTTTAGTCATTTTATTCTCATTTTTATGGTAAATATGGTCACCATGAATATACATATTTTTAAACAGTGTCTTGAATATTTTATTAACATAGAGAAACAATGGAGGTGAACAATTTTCTTAATTAAGAGGAGAGATTTAACAATTCTTTGAAAAGGCATTTTGAGGAGTTCTGGTGGCCTGGCGGTAAGAAGCTGCACTGCAATCCCAGAGGTACTTGGCTCAAATCCACCAGATGCTCTGCTGGAGAAAAGGGGCAATCTCCTTTTGTACCAGTCAGATCTGATTTGATGGTACACACAAACAAAATAATAAAATGGGGGGGGGGGAGCATTTTGAAACTTTTTGGTTACCACGATAGTTTGGAATTACACAGAATTACATTTTCTTCTTAATGCCACCTAGTAATAGCCTGAATATAAGGAAGAGATTGAGCATCATCTCAGTAGTATTTTGTTTTGCAATTATTTGGTTCTTTGAAAATGAAATAAGTATTAATCACACTAAAAATAAAATTAGATAAAATTCATGTTTCTTTTCTACTTAAACATTTGCAGACTCAGAGTTAGAGAGGAGCGCAAACTATATTTGATAAATGTTGTTCTGCCAACGCAAAGCCAGGTTATTCAAATGCAACGGCTGCTTTAAGGGAGAAAGATAGGCAGCCTCCTCTCATGTGGTTTACAGCCTCTGAAAACATGCTGGAGGGTCAGCTATGAGTTCAGACCTAGTGGCACATCACAACACAATAAAAACAGCACATGACTTAAGCCTTGGAAAGAGCTGAGTGAAGCCTAAGCAGCAAAACAAACATGAGGCAAGACTATATCTGTGTTGATTGCACTATACTCAGAACGCTAAAGGGTGTTGCTGGTTCCACTGATTCCAATCCATGGCATGCCCACGCAGACAAGAACTGGAGTTTTCAAAGATGTGAAAAAGGGCTCCTAAACACTAGCAAAATTGAGATATCAGATACTGAATCACAAAATAATTATCTTTGATTGAATTATATCCAGTTTAAGGAAATAATTTGAATACCCATCAGTCAAGTGGTTAGTTGGATCAAAGCTGATTCAAAGCACATAAAGAGACTTGGATTTTCTGGATACTATTTTTCACCTACCTGGTTTTCTCACCCTCCCAGCTCTAACTGTTAACCTATGCTTTACGTCTCTTAAATAGTCCAGATGATTGGGGGATGCACAGTATTTCCTATGGCTTTTTAGAGAAAAGAGGAATATTGGGAAAAAGCTCTGCAGTTTACAGACACTTAGCTCATAGAGAGTGTGATCTGGCACATGTTTGTGCACCAACTGATTACCAAGTAGGTAGAATAGCGTCAGTAATTCAGAAAGAAAAGAATAATTAGAAGTGAACAATGAAAGTGACTTAATTTAAAAATGTAACAAAAGTGTTTACCAAAAAGTCAGCTTAGTTTAAAAATGTAACAAAAGTGTTTACCAAAAAGTCAATGGAAATGTGCAACAATTAATGAATGGCAATCCAAGTTCTCTATAAACTTTCATTTAAAATCTCAATTAAAAAAGATTTGTAAGGAATAAATCATTGGTCATAAAATTAATCATCCTAAAAAAGAGTTAATGATGGATTAACAACCCCCAAGAATTTTTTTCTAATTTTCACTTCATTATAAAACCTCAAGAAGGGAATGGAATCATTGGAAATGAATGACAGCTATAAAAGCTGAGATATTAAATAGTAGTTGGTATGTACCATCAAGGTGACTATGACTCACTGTGACCTGAACACTTCCATTGCTTAACCTATACATAAGCCCATTGTGAAAACCAGTGTCAACCCATCTTGTCAAGGGTCTATTATGACCTCCATTTTTACAAGTATGATGTCCTTCTCCAAGGACTGACCTCTCCTAACCACATGTTCAAAGTATGTGAGATGAAGTTTTGCCATTCTGGTTTCCAAGCAGATAAATGCACACCCATGTTTATTGTGGCTTTGCTCACAATAACAAAGAGTTGGAAACAACCCAAGTGCCCATCAACAAACAAATGGACAGAGAAGCTGTGGCATATTCACACAATGGAATACCATGCTGCATTAAAAAACAAGGAACTCAGGAAATAATAAAATGGGTGACCCTGGAGGACATTATACTGATTGAAATATCTCAGTCACAAAAGGACAAATACTGCATGGTGCCACTGTTGTAAAATGAGACTGACATCACGGTTAGGGGGAGACTGAGAAAGATGGGATAAATTATGTATACTGCATTAAAACAGATGAGGGAGAGAACTGTTTAAAAGAGATATATGATTAGGTATTACTGTCATGAAAGGAGTACAGAACGAAGGCTGCATTGTGGAGTGGAGTTGAGGGAAGGAATTGTATAACAATGAAAGAATTTTCTTCTCCTTTTCAAAATGAAGGCTGCATAGAGTAGACTTGGGGGGAGGGATTGTATAACAATGAAAGGACTCATTATAACAATGAGTGAACTCAGAGGGAGGTTGGGCAGGGAGAAAGATGCAACAATGAATGAATGGAAATCCAAAGTCTCTGTAAACTTTCATTAAAATGAATTTTTAAAAAAGACCCAAAACAAAAAAAAAAAAAGGCTAACACAGAAGAATTTAAAGAAACAATATATGATCAAGGGGCGTTGATGATGAAGGAGGAAGTTCAGGCTACTCTAAAAGACTTGGCAAAAAATAAAACCCCAGGAATTGATGGAATACCAGTTGACCTATTTCAATAACAGATGCTGTCCTAGATGTGCTTACCAAGTTGTGCCAAGAAATCTGAAGGAAAACTACCTATCCATCTAACTGGAAGAGATATATATTTATTCTCATTCCAAAAAAAGGTAACCTGACAGAATGTGGATATTATCATGAGTAACACTACCTTTTTTCAAAGGTACCCGGGATTTCCGGTGGGAAGAAGCCCTTGGGAACTCTGACAACGTGCTCCTGGGCGAAAGGGAAGCTTGAAAGCAGTAGCCACCTCTGATAAGCAATGGAGAGGCGTTTTTCAAAGGTACCCAGGATTTCTGGCGGGCCCGAGGGCCGCAGGGGAAACATAATCTACACAGGAGTTCTACAGGACACGTCACCTTCCCTTGGAGACAGCACAACTAAACTTAAGAGACACTGGTCAAAAGAAAAATGTCAGCAGTC